CATTTAGTCAATATTACAATTTTGAATAATCATCACATTCACATATCAATCCACAAATAACTTTTAGAGTCTTTAATTGTGTTAAAGCTTTCTACAGTATATATATATTGATTCCCAGAACAAACAAATCTAATAATCATATATTTCAAACATGAATCACAAACATTATTACTGAAAATGTGAACAAAAATACCAATCAAAAACCAAACCGTCAGTATGAAACATGGCACTCTGTGAAGATGAAAACAGTGCGAATTTCACTATAGATCAGTAAGATCAGTACAACATCTCTGAGCATTAACACAGCCCCGGCAGCACTTACGCATAAAACCTGATCAGCCTCTGGACAGACTGCTGTGGGATGTTCCTCCACTCTTCCTGTGCTCCAGATATTTGCAGATTGGGGTTGTTTTCTCAAATCTGAGTGCATTTAATTCTAGAACTCTTCATTGCATCAGAAATCTACACTTCTTGATTGACTTGAAGGAATGGAAAAACTGTTGGCTTTTGGACTGACAAAGGAGTAAGGTTGCACTCCAAACACTTTTAACTGTTCCACCAGTTAGCTTGAACAAGGCAACAGTCAGCATAATGCTTCCCACATGGTCTCCAAAGATGTTTCATCAGGGCAAAACACAATGTGGTGAATTAAAATTCTCTGCTACTTTCTTTGGCACCAGCTGGCCCACAGATCGTGGTCACTTGGTCTCTCAGCTGTCCATCATACCCCTGAAATTTCTGATCACTCAGATAGATCACTCTGTAGATGGTGAGCTACAGTCATTCTGCTGATGTGCCAGGTTATTTTTTTCCTGAAATTTCTTGTGCTGTAGGCAGCCTGAAAGAAATTCTGAATATGAATCAGATGGATAGGATAACCCCAAGTGCTGACCTTGGACATGGCCTGTCCAGCTTAGCTTCTCTGGACTAGTCTGTTGATGGCTGGTTTTACCCAACTTTAACCTCACAAACTAGGAATAGGATTAACATCATGAGTGAGAATCTTATTGTAGAAGCATCTTCATTGTTTTACTGTGAATTCTTAAGATGTGATTTTGAATATTTTCCTTTTCTCTAAATTATATTATCAAGCTTTTCTCATTCTGTTCTGCATTATATTTCTTACAGAATTATGCTATGCTGTAACTTTTGCACTGCTTAGTTTCATATGAAATAAAGAATAGGTTCTTCTTCTTTCATAGGTTCTAATGCTCCATCATATAGCATTAATTGTGAGTATGTAATGCATGTTGCCTCAGATAAAATCACCTGCTACAAAAATTAACAATAATTAATAATGAAACAAGGAATTCCACTCACTCAGTGTATAAAAGCATAGGGGTAGCATGGTATAGACTCCTTTATGCTCTTACAAGAAACTCATACATTACTTCTCGTGACTTTTCAACACCTAGAGAATATCTATGGTTTTATTCTCATTTGATTTGTTTTGATTGACGAGACAAATGACAAGCATTTGAGGAATCCAAACTGCTGGTGCTGCAAACTAACTTGGTGATATTCCCTTTGCTGCCCTATTGACTGAAGGCAAGATGTAAAAGTCTAAATGTGTACAGTAAATCCTGCAGGAGAAAAGAACATTTCTACATCAACTCGACATTATGTGTAATTAGAGAAAATTGGGACAAATGTTGCAAAAAATGTTGCAATCTTTAAATTTATTCAGTAATTGTTTTTCCCCATCTAGCATTGTGTTTATGTTGATTTATCAGCCTCACATATGTCCTGTGTTCCAATTATCCTTGTCCATATGTTGTCTTAGCTTTGCTTAGGGTGAATGACCCATTTCCATTTTTTTTCTCCTGGTGCTGTGTACGGTTGTTTTTATATTTACTGTTTGACTTGTTAATGCATTTGTGCAAATGTGTGAAGAGACAGTGCCAATAGTAAACAGAAACACTTTCATTGTGAAAATAATCTGGCAAGGGACTCATGACACTAGATCTGTTCCATAAAGGAAAGAGGAGAAAATATATCATTCTATTTTATTTTGGTAGATCCAGTAATAATCAAACAAGTACAGGTCCTATATCTTTCATCATTTAATATTTTCTAGGACTAGACATGCAATGGAGCAAGACCTCAAGCTTTACTAAATTGCTAAAACGTGCTTCTCCCATGTTTATTGCACTGTAGAGGCTCTGAGATTCCTTTTGTAGGAAAGCAGCTGTGTTGTCATCTTTAGAAAATATCAGCATGAACAAATAAACAGATGAATAAAAATACCCAGGTGTTAAAATATGAGATAGTACATCCACAGTAGGTTTTATTTTCGTATAAGAAAAACAATAAAAAAGGCAATTGGGAAATTATTTTATCTCTTTGTTATTGTGTATACATACAGTATGCTATACAGAGATTTTTACTGTTAGAGGAAACAGTGAAGAAAATGAAAATAGTAAAGAAAATGAAATTTAAATGGGAAATTACACATAATAGAGTTTTTTCTACTATCTCTTTTCAATTGAGGTTGGTGCTTTTCTGGTTCATGTTCAATTTCACACTAAAATGCTTTTCTTTTGTGTTCGCTGTACAGTAATGTCTTGAGTTACACTATCAAACAGTCAGGTTTTCTGCCTTTTACCTGAAACCGTTGTGTTAGTATCTGATCTTTTTCATAGTGCGTTTATCAGTGCTCTGATGAAAACAACTCTAAGTGCTGTTCTAAAGCCTATGGTTCTGAAAGGTTAGCACTCATCTTGAGTAGGATGGTTCTCGTTGCTAGCCTGTAACTCCTTCGTTTTTGAACAGGATAGTCTCCTAGCCAAAGGGTTCAGATGCTCACTTTTGAAAAAAAGCAGAATAAAAGTAAGCCCTTGTAATATTTTAACAAATATATACTATATGTATCAGATTTATTGCACAAAAAGCTTAGTTGTTTCTAACCTATCCCAACACTTGTATTTCAAGAAACAAATTGTCCTGTAATGTCATCTTTACATTACATCTGTAATGTAGTATGTCATTTTTACTTTATTTAAATACCTTAAGTCACTGCCTAATGCCTTTGGACCATTATTGGAAAACACATGCTAATATTGATTACAAAGTGATTGATGGCTGTTGACAACCAAGACAGCTTGCCCTTTTAAATGATAAATAAATAATCTGTATGAATTTCCAGTTCAACCTCATCATGTAACTGAATACCCAAAGTTATTTGTTCCATACCCAGGGAAGTTGCTTTTATAGTGCATACAAAAATGTATGTTTTTGTTTAATGTATTACTGTTCTGCTAAAAAAAAAGGGATATATATATTTTTAAACCACATTTCAGTATTGTGGTAAAGGATAGAGGAATCAGATTTGGTCGTTGAAATATTTACTGAAGTTTGACAGAAACACGTGGCCACATGCATATTCAGCATTACTGGTGTAAAGATGTCATTATTGTGCTCAGTAGGCTGTCACGAAAGTTTTCAACTGTCCTGTACCTTAAGTGCTGGGCATACTGTATGTGGTAACTACTGTAGTTTGCACTGCCTCAGTTTATTTCCTAACCGCTTATTTAAGTAAACAGCCTTGTGTTTGGATGTTATTTTATTATTGTTTCTGAGCGCCTAGATAATGGGACAGCCTTTGTTTATCGCAGGTGGCTTCCCAGCGGGTGGGGAGGATAAGGAAGTGTGCAAGTCTGTGTGTGTCAGGGTAACGGTTTTCCCTGCTAGGCGAGGTATCCTGTGTGTGAATCGTGGTTCGTACAGTACAGGCAGCTTCCAGGAACCTCAACAGCAAAACAGCACAGAGTGTTTCCTGTTCTTTTACACCGTTATCAGCGGACATTAGAAATGATCAGGCCATTTCCCTCGTCACATTTCCTTAAGAGCTATTTTGTGCCTCTCCATCAAGATGTTTTTGCTTGATTATCGCGAAAAGCTTTAAAAATATATAGAACAGAGAAATTTTGTTTTACAGTCACATCCAATTTTTTTAATACTTTCTGCATGTTGAACTGCTTCATTAAGCAACGTTGCTGATTATACAATAAGTATGATTTCCAAGAAAATTCAAGTACGTTTTAAACTCTTTGAAAAAGTATGTAGCACACACAGTGGATGTTATTAATAATTACAGTAATGTTGATTTATTTACTCTTATAAATTCTGTAGTAACCTTTGAAAACACATTTGCAATTTATAAGAATTAAGATTTGCCGATGTCTTTTCAAGAGTAGTATTGCTATTTTTGTTCATGTAAAAGGACGTTAATTTATTTTTAACAAATAATTAAACTGTAAATCAGGAATGTAAGATGAAAGACAAATAGTAATTTCAAAAACAAAACCTAGGTGACGTGTTGTAGTTTTTTAAATAGTTTGAAACTTTGAAGTACACAACTTTTATTATTATTTAATATCATTGTTATTTAAGAATAATTATATTTGATTAATTATTCATGATTATTACATATTTGATATGCATATGTATGTTCTCATATCAGTTTTAAAATGGTTTTGCAGTGTTTTAATCAATATTAACGTTTAACTTTTGAATATACAGTATAAGTGTTAACTGCAGGCATGAAAATAATTGATTTTTTCTTCTTTAATTTTAAGATCACCAGAAACGTTCCTCTGCAGTTTTAAAATCCCAATTCTATTTGAGTTGTATGCCAGTCTGGACAGACAGTAGATGGGTGTCACGCTACAACAGCATGAAATAGGACACTTTGGCTAAATTCGATGTATTTGTTTTTGCTTGATTAAAAACAAAAACTTCTTATGTAAGGAAAAACAAACACACACACAATCCCATTCAGTTAACAGAAGGGTATTAGTCTGGAAAATGGATCTGGGAGAGTGGTTATGATATTTGGAGGAGCTTCTGCCTCCTCGGATTGTGATGAGATACAGCAAGGACCCAGCAGCTCTCCAGATGGTCATATGAAAGTGTTTGTCTTGGGTTACTACAGGACAGTCTGCGCTTTTGGAAACGCAAGAAAGGCAGGGTATCCGACGCCACACACACAGACATAGGCGGGCACACACCGAGAGTGCGGCAGCAGTAGCAGAAACAGTAGGGGTGAAAAAAAAAACCGAAAGGCAGCCAGCTGCCCATAATCAACTGGGCCTGCCCATTGTTAACATATACTTGACCCCTCCAACCTGTGGACGACACAGATGTCTGCTACCTCTGCCACCTCCCACCGCTTCGACCCCGCCTACTCGGCACCTGGGTTAGGGAGGATAGGCAGGCTGGCGGTAGAGTGCTGCTTGACTCCATAAGCAACTACAGTAAGCGAGAGCCACAGACTTTGGTTTCCGTGGAAGACTCTTCGTTTTGACTCCAACCCAGAGGCAGTGAAAGCAGACCTGCTGTAGGTTTCTCGAGGCTAAAGGCGCGCCGACAAAAAGGACCATTTTATGGCGCTGCTGTAGTGATTGCCTGCAGTACAGGATCTTCTCGTGTTCCATACCCTCTTAAATATCTTTTTTTTTTTCCCTTTCTCAACGATACCTTGTTATTGCTGTCTGCAGTCGAATTTGGAAGACCGGTTAGCGTCTGTGCTGCACTGCTTGGAGCTCCTTAGTTTCGACTTTTGGGGGAAAAGTGCATCACCTGGACTGCAAAACTGAAAACAAGCATAAAACATTCCTTATCTTTAAATTTCCATCAGTGTCGGGGACTGGAACTTAATTTGTGTCCACAATTAAATAACGAATGGTGGGAATTTCTGTCCCTTTTCAGTGTAAGTGCTGTTTTTTTAAATAATAATTTTCTCTATCTCTCGGGTCTGTCTGTACCTAACACTGGAAATAACACTGGTCTGTGTCATGCAAAGGTAAATGTACTGTAGGACTGCTTGCTTGACATGTAAAAACGTCTTTAAGACTTCTATGGAATATATGTGTGCAAATGTGTCTATATTCTTTAAAATGGAGTTTAAAAGCCATTTCCTGTTGTGAAAAATGTAGAATATCTGCTGACATATAGGGAGATATTGACCCATCATTCTGTTTGGCATGAGCATTTCTGTATTACTGTAACATTTGTTTTTCTATGCATTATATATATGCAGTATAATAGACACCTCGGTTACTGTGCGTGAAACTGTATAGCTGCATTATAGATCGACTACATTTGTCTTGCGGAATTTTTGAATTGATACTGTAATCCAAACTGATAAGTGTAAAGCGCAGGGAAGACAGTTAAGAAGAAGGTTTGCAGAAAAGTGAATTGAGAACTACAGATTTCTAGATGGGGTTATTGAAGGTACCCCTATATATAACATGAATATTTTTGGGGGGGATTTACGGTTGGATTTAAGTGTTAGATCCGGAATTTTAAGTGTATTGTAAAGGGTTTTTATTGATGTGGTGACAACACCTTTAATGATGTGTGGATGGCTTTCATTGCGCTAGAATGTGAGTATATATTTTCTGTCGGATTAGGGTCTTAAAATTGCCCGAGTGTCCTGTGTATTTCTAATAGCCAAGAGGTTTTGAGCGATTGTTTCAAGAAATTGTATTACTCATTACTGTAGCGTTATAGAGGTAGTCTGACTCCTGTGTCCTTGTTTTATAACATCCCCGTTTTTTTTCTTTTATATTGCTATTTAAAATCCTGATGCCGATTAACAATCCACTGTGCAGTATTAATTTTTAATGAACAGGAAATTGCTAGGCGTAGATATTTATAAGAAACTTGTTTTTTTTTTGTTACATTGAAATAAGTTGCAACACATTTTACTCTTCTTTAAGATTACAAGTGTTCAGATGAATTGAAGCCCAGGAAAATAAAAGCTAAAAGAAACTTCTGAATCCCTAAGAACATAGGGATTGCCTGAAGGTCTTGTTCTGATTTAGAAATACGAGTGGAAATAATAAGCTTGCAGAAATGTGGACACTTCTTTATTTGAAAAAAAAATTGAATTATCAATAATTAAATGTGTGCTGTAATAATCCAATGAATGGCAATTTACACGCTTGCCGTCAGGGTGAGTGTAAGAAATATATTAATTTATAGCACAATAGTCTTTTACATAAACCCCTGAAAAGAGTTGGAATGCTGTGATGAAGTTCATCACTGGCAAGTCAACTCTCTCTCCTTTTCCCAACTCCCCTCTGTCAAGTCTCATTTTCCCCCTTTTATTAAAGATGAACATCAGCTGACAGCCACTCAATGTAAAGCCCATTTCATTGAGGATCTTAGCACATTTCATTCTCTCGAGTTGGGTACTCTTCAAAAGTTGGCATCTGGAGACTTTGCATTTGAAAACCCTAAACCACTCACATTTGTCAGTTTCATCTTTGCGATCCACCTTGATGGTTTTCTCTCTTGTGAGTCGCTCGTGACAAATCTTTAGGTGATTGAAAAGTGGCATTAATAGAATGTTAGGGACTTCAGATTTAAATTAAAGGGTCGCTCTTTTTTTCTGTGGGAACTTGTTCTGTGCTGTGATCAACGTGCCTTTTCATCGAAGAAAAAGAGGGGACTTAGGAGGCTGGGTTCTACTGTAGATCCTGGTTCTCACGGCTTTGAGCGAGGGCTCGGTATGTGAACATTGTGAAAAATGTCTTCCTGTTGGGGTTTATTGTAACTCTTCGATTTGGATTTTTTAAATCTATCTGGGAAAAACGCTCAATATCAGACATTCAGAATTATTCAATATTTCCCTAACTCGAAAACCGTCTTCTGTCTTTGTATTTAGGTTTTGTTTTGCAAGTAGCATTTGCTTTTTAAATGATGTCAGAAGCATTACAACCTTTAGTGCAGAATTGAAATAGTGTGTTTTAATCAGTCCAAAATATGCGAGAGACGAAAGGGCACTGTCCTGAATTAGACCTTGATAATCTAGTCTCTCTGCCAAATAGACTTTTGAGACATCTGTAGTGTGTGTACCATATGTTATGTTTTGACCCTTGCGTTTTCTCTTTTGGAAAGGATCCTTATATCCTGCATATTGAATTTATTTTTTTTGAGTGGGCAATTGTCATAGTATGTTGTTACCAGAAGTAGTCATCTACCTACCTGCATATGTTCATCAGATCTTATGTAATAATTATGCACCGAGCTGGGAGAGTAAGAAAGATTCCATGGTTAGACGAGAAGTACATAGTGTGTCACAGTGCACATGCAAAGATCTGGCTCGTTGTCATATGTTTTTGCTATGCTTTGCTTCTATGGAAACTGCTGATGGGTCCAGAATCGTTATTGCTGGGTCGATGCTTTTAGAATTCATGCTCAGCCTCTAATCTACATACAGCCCATTAACTTACCATTATTTTACTTTCCTCCTCATCTTTTTGCCATTGGTACAAAATCCAGAGACAATGATAACATGGAGGTGGGCATTTAATTAAAGCAAACATTAGTTCAGTTTGCTGGAGGTAATTGTAAGTGATAAGTGCTGTGTGGGTTATCTCTGTGTGCTGTTTAAACAGAAGGAGCCACTCTGCAACATTTTCAGTAGCCATCTGTACATGCAGAAGCCTTGCACCTGTCTGTCCACAGTAATTATAGGCTGGGGTCAAAGACATGAAATTTGAGAAGTTTTCCTGCTAATGAAAAAGGTGGCGTTTCAAAAGATATTGCAATTGGCATTAACACATTTTAAAAACATCCGTAAGGGCACAGCTTTATTTTACTTCACTGTATTAAATTTTCTGTTCCACATACTGTGCCAAAATTCACAGGGCAACATTTGTGCTATTAATTTCGGTGGTGTGAAATGCTAAACTGAGAAAGTGAAAATCTTCTGAGCTTAAATATATCTCAGTTTAGTTTATCCTTTATTGTCAAAGATATGATGAGCAAATTCATAAAATTGCTTTTTTGTTGACAAGAAATCAATGTATAATGAATTTGACTTTAGTATTCATTTTGTCGCGTGTTCTTGTTTCTCTTCCTTGATAGTAGTATTAAATATATACATATTTGTTACCGATGTATATTAAATCACTTGAACAAAAAAACAGTCATATACAGTATATGTGCAATACTCCTATTTTTAAAATGTTTATCCTGCTGCCTTATTTTGCTATTAATATATAATATATTAATGTTCTTAACAAATTTGTATACAATCCTTCTTTACATTCTCCACAATCTAGTGTAGACTACATTTTCTTAAAAAGAAGTAGTTCTTTTAGGTATAGTATTTTATAATGGGTAATTATGAAAAATGAATCATATGAAGTAAGAAATGGTACATATTTGAGACATACTCTCATTTGCATTTTGTGATCTCTTTTTTTGGTTCAAAGTCTTTTGTCTTGTCAGAAAATGTGATGTTTTTTAATCCTGCTAAAGCTGTAGTGCGTGCTGTAAAATGTAGCCGTGCCTGCTACCCTTTGTGATAAGTGATACTCTTTATTTTTGTTTCTTTTTGGGGGGTGGGGTTGTCTTGTACACAACAATGTCTGAAGCAGATGGAGCCTCTGCATTATATGTGATAGGAGGTAACTCATTATTCTGAAAAGGCTAGATCTAAAGAGGATTTCTGCATGTCTGTGTGCATTTCAAACCAGCAGTGGGTGCTATGTGTGATACAGGAATTGTAGATGTATTATAGCTTAATATTATGTTCTGTGATGCTTTTAATTAATTTTTATGTTGTTGTGGCAAATTTGGTTGGTGTGCCGTGTAATGAAGAGTCATGCTTTCTTACTGTTACATGGTGCTATGTGATACTCAAATCTTCAAAATTCACACATTTTTCCAAACTCCACAAATTCATAAAAAACATAAAAACAAACTTGATCAAAATATTCTAGGCTGATTTGCTGAAACTTTGCTACCTCTAATGACAGACATGCTTTCCTAAATATCATTTGTAAATGGGTTAGTTTTATTCAAATTTACCATGAAAATACAGTATTTTCTTTTATGATGTTATCCATCTTAATTCACTTATTGCATTGATTTGACCACTTCCACACAGTTAAGAGCTTCTGCTAAGCAAATAGTAGAATGTATGCAGAATGTTACTGCAAGTGTTGGTAATTGTTTTTTATCAGAATTAGATGACTGAGCACAGCATTCTGCTATCACATAGATCGAGTGACATATGAGACTTTTTGTATCTTGTTGTTGTTTTTATTCTGTTTGCGTATCATGAAGTATTTATACCGAATGAGGCGTATTAGCGCTTTTTTCATTTGTGTGTTTTTTTTTTATTTGTGTCATTTTAGCCAGACCTGTACAGAACAGCCAATGTTTAACCCTCCTGTCTAATAGGATGTTTGTCTCCTCCACATACAGACACACTGGCATCACTCCTGTCTGTTACCTTTTACCACACAACTTGACAGTGATGGAAAGGCACACAGCTCTCAGTCCAAGCTTGCTGGGCAGCCTTCTGTTCCAGGTGACAGGTGTCCTAGCTGCCTGCAGTTGGCTTGCAGTTCTCTCTTTCTCCATTTCTCCCTCTTTTTCTCTCCCTCCCTCCTCTTTCCTTTTAATCCCATCTCTGTTTTCCCTTTGAGTTACCAATTAACTTCACACACACACCCCCTCTCTGTTTATTTTCCTGCATCCATCTGGGCTGAGCTGATATTGTAATCACCCTAATGCACATTGCCTTCCCCTCACACACACACACATACAATGTGCCATCCTGACAAGCCTTTTTATTTCAGATAAGCCGGGGATGTGTGTTTAATGAATACAAAGCCGTTGTGTGTCGCAGTGCACTCTGCCAGAAGGTAATCTCATTGAATAGGTGCTTTTCAGTGATGCAGAACTCGA